CCTGTTTTTCCTTATGCCATATCATGTTTGTGGCAGTAGGCGTCGACATACACAATCGCTGCAACCTAGGTTTCAGGGGCAGATAATGCATAACTTTTTGTGGGATCTTAAAGGATCGTCTGTAGCAATTGTACCCTATTTCCATTCGGGAATGAAAGGGTTAGCCGAGGAACTCAGTGAAGTTGTTCTATTCTGAGATGTCATTTTGAACCTCGACTCATTGCATACAGGGCATTTATCTAATGCTTTATTCTCTTTGTTTAATAAAATACAATTGTTTTTGCAAGCGTGAATTTTTTCACAACCCAATCCAAGACCATTCAACACCTTTTGCGCGTGTCTATGGTCTTTCAACAAATAATTGTCATTTGGAAGCATTCTCTTGAAAACCCCCAAAAAAATAATCGAAACACTGGTTTGACATACGATACTTTATTTTTCCATGCATTAGTTCCACAATGGTCTTGAGAACAGAAAAGTTCTTGCACCCCGGGTATAACTCTTGGTTGGTATTTTTTAATAGTTTTTCATATTGTTCGAACTCTGCACTGTCCATTGGTGTAGGCATATCACCTTCCCATTCCTGATTGGTGTTTGTCGATGCAAATGGAAAAGCATCATTTATAATATCCATGACTTGTTCATTAGGATCCACAATAGGTTCAACATTATCCACTCTTGTGGCGTTTGAAGACGAAGCATTGTCTAATTGTTCCCCATGATGGTTCCAAGTATTATATGTCTCAATCATTCCATTCCTTACTAAACGAAATCGAACATTTTCAATTGTCTCCCTTAACATGTTGTTACACCTCCTACAAGGACACCGGATTCTAGTCGCACCCGGGTTGTGTGTACGTACAAAGTCAATAAAATCCTCGATTCCATCCAAGTATTCGTCCGTGCATCTATTCGGGTTCTGTATCCACGTCCTATCCATAATTTATGGAACCATAATAACAATACAACAATCACAACAACTACATACAAAATGATAATGTCACCTTATGCCTCCGGTAAGGGACCTATCCCATTCGGGAATGCATAGTCATGTCACGTAATTTAACGTAATTTACGGCTACATCAGATTAGATTTCGACGTGGATGAATTTTGGCAGCATCTCGATACAGTTTTTCAGGTGTACAACCCGAAGAACGTATAGAGATGACATCGAAATCTCCACAATCGAAAACTAATCCTTCAACCATAAACTACGCATCATAACTGTGCATTCATAAACTATCCAAATGATGGGACAATTCAAGAATTAATTAGACCGCAGTCATGCTTTCGCATCCATGCGCGAAATCCAACTAATCCTCGAATGGGAAACTAAGTTTTACTACAAGCACGAAGTTAATTTCAATTAACTTCATACATCACAACACATATTTGTACGTCACGTACAAATTTAACAACATAATATAAATATAATTTCACAATACAATATAAACATAACAAACTAAATTCAACATAATTTAATTAGTTTTATATGTTTAAAAAATAAAATGAAGAAAATACCTTCTCAATCGTTCTCCACCAATCGCTAATCACACACAATATCCTTTAAGACAACGAAATTAATGGCGTTAGTATGAATTTACATTAATACTTTTACCGTAACGACAAAAAACGCTTACCAAACACACTGAGATAGCTCAATCAACCTAGAAAAGAAGATGGAGGGAGTATTAGATGATGAAATTGAGAGAAAATGGAAATGATGGATGACGGATTAAGCAAAATTGAAGGGATGAGTGCAGAGGCACAATATGCAATTTTTTTTTGCAGTTTGCCTCTGCACATGCTGAATCTAGATTAAAAAGTTCACTTTTGGACCAACAATTTTGAGCGACGAAGACTATCTTCGCGCAAACACCCATTGAGTGACGAATATGGTATTTGTCGCGCAAATGTTATTTGCGCGACAAAAAAAGAAACATTCATCGCGTAAGTTAACCATTTTTGTATTTTATGTCCTTTACTTTACAATTTATTCTTTTCAACACATGAATGTATCGTCGCGTAATGCATATTTTTTAATTTTTTTTCCATATTTGTTATTCATTTGTATGTACAATAAATTTTTATTTCAAACCTAATTAAACATTAAATTAATTAACAAAACTAATTTACTATCCCAAATAGAAATTATAATTAATGCAAATATTAATACTCATCCACATAATATATATTTATTCATTAAATTAAATTTAAAGTCCACAAAATCTTTAAAAAAAAAAAAAAAAAAAAAAAAAAAAAAAAAAAAAAACCCTCATCAACTTCAATCCTTCGCCTGCAACACATTAAACTTTCAATGTCGAAAACTCTGCTTGAAAATTCCATCCACATAAATCCGTTGCTTCTCATCAGTTTCGACAACATCCCAATGAACCTCCATTAATGCTAGTAACAACAAATTAGTAATTTAAAAAAATATTACATTTTAACAAAAATAATTGTTCATTATTTACCACAAACTTACTGATAACTCTCCCAACATGGATTTCTTCAACTCCTCAGGGACCTTTTTCCAAGACTCAAACTTAGCAGAACAATCCCTACGCACCAAATTCCCAATGTTATACTTAAACTCGGCGTACACCTCAGCCAAATTTTTGCCGTAAATTTCAAGTTCATCGTGCAAAATGAGTAATCAATGCGCAATTAATTGGAAGGTTTGAGCGCATGCTGACCATGCTTTGCGCGACAAACACATGTATTCATCGGACAAAGGTTCCTTATGCTACGAAGTATCATCGATCAATATATTGCACAACGAATAAAATATTAATTATTTTTAGAGTAAAGATTTAAGGTATTATATTTAATACCTTATATATTTATTCTAAAAATAATTAATACTTTAAATATTATGCTATAGATAATTAATACTTGAAATATTATTCTATAAATAATTAATACCTGAATTATTATTCTATAAATAATTAAGGCCTTAAATATTTAGTCTATATATAATTAAGTACTTAATCCATACAATTATTCTCAGCATAAGTACAATATTCATTGAAAATTGTAAACACATATAAATCGAGGATAGGGTGCTTACATTAGGTTTCAATAAAAAAACAACAGGAATTTAGACCTAATTAAGTCCAAATACATAATTGAAACATAATTAAGTCCGAATGCATAACATATAAAAAAACAACTTAAATTTAAATATTGTCATACAAAACATAAATTTAAAATTACTATTTCGATGATCCTGGTCCATTCCGCAAGACTTCATAACGTCATCGACTGTAACCTCCCTCCAACGCATTATCCATCAACTTCATCAACTATTCGTTTGTATCATCATCAAGAGTATACTTCATCCATCATATCCTTCTTCACATTCCCAGGCACATCTTCCCAAGGACGCCACTCAGCAGTGGTACAATTATTCCCCATGGCTACGGCGATTGCATGCGCAAACTCAAAATGATCCCTTAAATCATGCGGGCATTGCGTACACTCTCACCCTTATTCTTATCCGCCATCCTAGCACGAATAGAATTTTGCGTACACTCTCACCCTTATTCTTATCAAGACAAGAGAAACGAATATTTATAGGTAGGTTAGGACCTTTGCGTGACGAAGCCTTTGTTGCGCAAACACCTGTATTAAATGCGGTATTAATTCCTCGGATTCACTTGCGGTGAATGGTCAAAATTGACAGGAACTTGCGCGATCAACTATTGGTCGCGCAAAGTCTCCATTTCATCACACAAGTTTTTCGCACCAAACAAAATTACCCCGCGTTTTCTTGCTCACTTTCCGCGATGCTAGCGATTATAGTCGCGCAAAGTATTCTTGCGCGACAAAACTCTTCATCGCGCAATTTTTTTTTTTTTCTTCTCCTCTCTTTTCTATTTTGCACGACGAAGTGTATTTTTCGTCGCGCAAGTATAGCTTGTGCAGCGAAATATTGTTCATTGTGCAAAATATCGTCACGCAAGTTGTTTTTTCTACTATTACGAGGATGACTTTGAAGAGCTGGCATGTGTCTCCTTAGGCCTGGAAAAGGCACAGTGGCATGACTGAGGATATCATAGGCCTAGAAAGTAATAATAGTTTGAATTTCGTTATTAATTTCTATTTTTTTTAATTTAATAAAACTTGCTCAATCCTATTTTCATTTTAAAATTGGATTTGAAAGGGGATACAAAAGTAGGGTTGGTTTCTTCACTCACAAAAGATAAAAGTTTAGACCTAAAATAAGAAAATTTTGTTCATTCTAGATCTAATTGATATGTCATTGAATTAGTATCATGTATCTGAATGGAATGTAAGACAATGTATGCATGCATCTCTTTGTCGTCATAGACCAGATATGGTATGGGAAATATAGGAAAAATGTACTATTAATGAGAAGAAAACTTATATTTAGAAA